TTAGAAGTTGCACTTTGTGTGACTCTAACTAATTCACTTGTGTTTGAACATCTTTTTTTTTTTTATCTTGAGATCATTTTGCTCTGGAGATCAGTTTAATTGAACAAAGAAACAAGTGTTGTTTGTATGGCACTTGACACACTTGCCTAGTGGAGAGTGTGGTTGATTTAGCAGATTGCTCTTTACTGGTGTGGTTAATTGGATCATAATCTTGTTACCTGCCTTTTCAACCATTGTTTGCAGTCTTGAAATGTTAGTGTTTCAGAGTACACTGTTCAGTCATTGTTTATTTGTCTTATGGTACCCATTCACCTTCACTTTTTAAGAAGTGGTGCCACTGATATAAACATTTCTTGTGATAATGTGGCAGTGTAGCCGGATACTTTGTTGTGCTAAAGAACATAGGAAGCTAAAAAAGCCAATGAAGGTAATTGTTGACAGATCCCTCCACTGATCATGCACAGATGCTTTGCATCTCCATGTCAAAATGGCCTGATAGTCCTTAAAGCGGAACCTAAAAGTGAAAGTTCTGATCATCCTCTTCCCCTGCAATAGGAAGAAGGGTCAGCCGCACACCGGAGGATAGATGAATATAGTGTGTATGTATTGGTCCACAGGACATACAAAACACCAGGACATGCATACAGGACTTGTTAACGCGTTTCACACAATCTTGTGCTTAATCATAGCCGTTATAATTAAGCACGAGATTGTGTGAAACGCGATAAAAAGTCCTGTATTCATGTCCTGGTGTTTTGTGTGTCCTTTGGATCAATAAATACACACTATATTCATCTATCCTCCAGTGTGCGGCTGACCCTTCTTCCTATTGCATCGTGTGTGGTGGCGAGCCAGGGCCTGCACCTGTTGTGGATTGATCTGGATTGTTTGCCTGAACGGTATACCTTTTGTTCTTTGCGTCCTCTTCCCCTTTACTTTAACAAAATTTGCATTTTTTTTTTTAAAATTCTGACAGATACCCACTCCCTCCTAAAAAAGAATTACATCAGCTTGGCCTGCCACCCCCCTGTTCACAGCCTTCAAGGAGGCTGGGGGACTAGTCTGAAAGCACAGCATGATAGCACACATGCGCAGCAGGGAACCAGCTCCCATATTCAAGATGGTGGGGCTGAGGATCCAAAATCCGGTGAAGAATCAGCTCCAGTGAAGACAGCACTGGACTCCTGGGCTGGTAAGTGTCTGTTTATTAAAAGTCAGCACGTACAGTATTTGTAACTGCTGATTCTTATTTTTTAAAACAGAACTAAAGTTCCTCTTTAAGATGTGATAAAACAAATGACTGAGGTGAAATTAAACTGGCCAAACATGGATTGAAATTCAACTAGTTCAGTAGGGACCAGCTGAATTTTGAACCATGTATGATCTACCAAACGACTTCTGTTCAACTGCCTTGTTGGATTTTAGCTGCTGGATCAACACTGTAGGCTACAGCCTGCGGTGTTGCTCAGTGTATTCTGATGATGAAGAAGTCTCTCTGCTGGCAGATTACAACAGCTCAGTTGGGAGGATTTCCCCATCCACCTTGAATGTGGATGAGGAAATTTGGTCAGTTCAACTCGCTGGCTGAACAAAAAAAGTTGACTCCTCTATGGGGAGCTGTAGGATACGTTTAAATATGGAAAGAAAATGGTTGCAAATGGTATGAAATATTGACATCTTGCTTGCTTCAGGGACCTCAGCAGCCATAGATGGTTCGGCAGGGAACGGCCAAGATTTGTGTTATCTATGGGCAGGCTGATTGTACCCAATTCGATTGTTGTATGATGTGGGCACAACCAGTCTTTCGGATTTTTCATGTGATTATTGCCAGCGGCAGTGACTTAGTGACAACTTGACCTGGTTCTGAGCTTCAGTTCCGACGAGTCCTGTCTACAAGCTCTGACTATGCTTTTATTTCTTTCTTTGGCTTTGATTGGTGGTTTTGACCTTTATCCATTTCAGGACATGGGCAAAGTATATTCTGATGGTATAGACAGAAAATGCATACCAGGAATGCCTTATTTTACCTTCTGGGAGAACCACACCCTCCCGACAATATGTTCCTATCCACGTGAAATATGACTACGTCTGCACCTTTGTAAGAGATAACATTTCTGTGAATATAAAGAAGCAAGCAGATTAATTACAGCAAAAGGATTCGATATACTGTATATATATTTTGAGGCCAATGGGCCATTCAACCAGAAATTGTACTGCGTCACAAATATTTAAACTTCATTACCTGACAAGATGCATAATTTCTGTATGTGTTATTTGTAAGATTCAACATCTTTCTTCCTTCTCTTCTCCTTTACTTTCTTCTCTCCTTCCAAAAAACATTATGAACTTTCGAACAGAATGATATCACTCATAAAAATGTAAACAGACATCTTGTATATAAAGTTTTTATCATTTTTATAATAAATCACTAAAAAGTTTTTCAAATAAAAAATGGTTTCTTTAAGCTAAGAGTACATGTAAATTCTATTGAGAACAAAGAGGAGTGTTGGGGGCTGTGATTTGCTTCACTGAACAAAGCCAACAACACTATTCTAACAAACTGGCCCAAAAGTCATATTGCTTAGCTACATAAACAATGAGGCTAAAACAAGGCCCAAAACATCAAGTTCAATATACTAAGTATAATAATCCAGAAGAAGGGAACTCAACACCCAAGCCACCTAAGTTCACAAGTGGACGTTGAGGCTTTGATTCTCCTTCCAGGCACTTGTTATCAAACCATTGTCTTGTGCACTTGTGGTTGTGGCTTCTGGAACCCACAGTTAACACTGGACTGCAATCCAAGAGTTACTTAAACTTTTCTACTCTGATTGATGCAGATTGTAACTGGAACTCACGAGCAGGAAAGTTACTCTAGCAGCTTTTCCAAAACATGCCTCTACGTGATCTTGATAGCCATGACATAAGTATGGAATTTGGTTCCGTCATACAAAGCTCTGTACATTTTTAGCAATGGATCACTGCAGTTGTGATTGAATCAGCTCATTGAGCTAGAGATGGATGACTATAAAATCGCATTATGTCATCACATAACTGTGCTGTGCATTACTTTGCATTCTGGAACGCGTTACAACATAAATTGGTAGGTACACTGAATGTAGCTCCTTGAGCTTGCCATTTGTATTGCCACAAAAATGTAACCACAAATTGATATACAGCATTAGAAACTACAAGGAGTTACTATTTTATATGTATTTTGAACTTATAGCTTACTTTTTCGTTACTGACTGTCAAGTAGCCCTCTAGTGGTTGAACTGTATTTAAAGAGAATCACTAAAAGTAAAAGAGATTTTATCTATGACAGTGATTCTGATATACATTTATAAAGTTAATACAATTCTATGAATGTTTCCAGAGCTTGACTTACAAAGACTATGATTACACATGTGGCACTGCCGCGCCTCTGAAAAGTCATCCACGGTCATATACCTTTTCAGAGGCATTTGACAGTTGGCAAGGGGGCAATATATCACCTGTTTTACCCTGTAGATGATGCAGCACCACTTCAGAACTGCATGCATTGTTCATGGTTGCAGGTTGCTTGTGGCACTGCCCTACTCACTTAAATGGATTGTGTTCAGCAGCAGTACAGTCCACTGAATGTGACAGAGGGGATACATTTTACTGTATCATGTGTACACCCCTGTGTATTGCCTTTTCAGCTTAACCTCCCTGGCGGTATTTCTGAGTGTAGCTCAGGGTAAAGTTTCAGTACCACAAGCGGTAACCCCGAGTTACACTCGGGCTTACCATGCGGCGCTGCTCCGGGATCCCTCAATCACTTACCTTGTCTTGCGCTCCTGCGATGTCCCTCCTGCAGTGTCCCCGGCAATGTAATCCGGCGGATGCCGGCATCTGTCTTCTGGGTTCCGTCCCCTGCGAGCGTCGGGACTTACGGGGGACGGAACGGCGGGAAATTTGTAAATGACAAAAAGTGACATTCACTAAAATCATTAAAATCACATAGTAAAACATTACTGTATCAAACCATTTCACATACATTTTGTCCCGAGTGCTTTGTCCTGTGCCCTGCCTGCATTTTTACTGTTCTTTCTGCCTGGAAACTGAGAAACGTCCATGGTGTCCAAAAAGCATCCCTTTAGGTCAAAATCAGTTTTAGACCAGCTAGAGAACAGCGATAGTAAATTAGAACCACTTGCAGAATTGAGTGATAATGATTCGTGGGGAAATTCGTCATCAGACACTGAAAACGATTTTGCGACTTTGCTCAGTGATGTGAGAACTTGGCGCTATATTTCAAATTTCAGTGTTTTTGGTTTTATTATATTATTTAATTACATTTATTATTATTATATTATTATTTTTTATGATTATTTATGAAATTATAATTTATGAATTTGTGTTTCAAATTTTATCCTACCCGGGATGTTTACTAGACTCTTGTTCGGACAGATTTCAGTGAGTTATTCCTAAAAATTACAATTAAAAAAATGACATATTTCCATGCAAAAAATGTACCGCTTTAAGCACAGAAATACTGACATAATCAGACCGCTAGGGAGGTTAAGGTAAGGGGTGGTAAAAAAACACAACTCAAGTGGGTGTTTTAACTGCCCTCCCAATTAGAAAGTGTAAATAAGTGCTTATTGATGATAAGCTTATACAGTGCTTAGCATAAATGAGTATACCCAGATTTGTCAGAAAACCTTTACTTTCCTTTCAGGATCAACATTTTCTATGGGACCCTATACGACAAAATACTCCCACAAATGTGGGCCATTGATTGCAAACAAGATTTGTTAATTTGCACACACAAAAAAAGTATTTTTCCTAACAAATTCATTCAAGACCATGTTGCAAAAATGAATACACCCCAACGACAGTCTTAGGAGCAAAGTTAAATTTTAGACAACAAAATCCTAATTAAACTATAGGTGAGTCTAATCATTAAATAGGTGTCCAGCAGACAGCTGATTATAAAAGGGCGTTACATAACAAAGAAAACCCCTTCCCATTTCATGCTGTCAGCAATGGCACCATATGGAAGAGAAATGTCACAAGGCCTGAGAAAGAAAATAATTTCTTTACACAAGAAAGGTGAAGGCTACAAGAAGATCAGCAAAGATTTACTTATCAGTCAGAATACTATAGCAAAAGTGATACAAAAATTTGACAATGAAAAAACTGAAACCATCCCAGAGAGACGTCCAGGCCGTCCACAGTAGTTAACACCTCGACAGGAGCGCCTTTTGATGAGAAGGGTTGAAGAACACCCCCATGCAAGTTCACTGCAGTTAACTAAAGAAATAGAAAGCCAAACTGGGGTGATTGTTTCCTGTGGCACAATACAGTGTACACTGCAGAGGAATGGCATGCATGGGTGTCATCCACGAAGGAAGCCTCTCCAAACCCCTTGCACAAAAAAGCCTGCCTAGAATTTGAGTCTGAGTCTGCTCTTTTTTTAGTTTATTCACCTGGGCTAGTCTGAAGTAGCGGCAATCCTTTCCTCTTTACATTTACTTGCCCCCTGGATTTTTATTAGGACTTGCCTGCACCCCATGTTCTGGGACACAGAGATTTACTTTCCCCATCTACTTTGAGGGTTTACTGAAAGCAATCTAAAAGGTCGCAATTAATAAAATTATGTTCATAACAATTAAATCATATGTCAAAGGTGAAGGCTACAAGAAGATCAGCAAAGATTTACTTATCAGTCAGAATACTGTAGCAAAAGTGATACAAAAATTTGACAATGAGAAAACTGAAACCATCCCAGAGAGACGTCCAGGCCGTCCACGGTAGTTAACACCTCGACAGGAGAGCCTTTTGATGAGAAGGGTTGAAGAAATCCCCCATGCAAGTTCACTGCAGTTAACTAAAGAAATAGAAAGCCAAACTGGGGTGATTGTTTCCTGTGGCACAATACAGTGTACACTGCAGAGGAATGGCATGCATGGGTGTCATCCACGAAGGAAGCCTCTCCAAACCCCTTGCACAAAAAAGCCCGCCTAGAATTTGCCAGGGCCCATTCTGAAAAAGAAGAAGACTGCTGGGACTTTGTATTCTGGAGTGGTGAGACCAAGAAGATAAATGTTTTTGGAACTGATGGCTTTAAAACTGTATGGTGTCACAGGTGAGGAGTACAAAGAAAAATGCATGGTGCCAACAATGAAACATGGTGGTGGCAGTGTCCTACTGTGTGGCTGCATGAGTGCTGCTGTGTCGGGGAGTTGCATTTTCACTGATGGTATCATGAATGAACAGATGTACTGCTCTATATTGAAAGAGAAGATGCTACCATCACTCCGTGCCCTTGGTCGTCCTTCACCTTTCCAACATGACAATGATCCAAAACACACATCTAAGGCCACTGTTGCACTTCTGAAGAAGAACAGGGTGAAAGTGATTCAGTGGCCAAGTATGTCTCCTGATCCGAACCCAATCGAACACCTATGGGGAATTCTGAAGAGACAAGTTGAGCATCACTCTCCATCCAGCATCCAGGCTCTAAAAGAGGTCATTCTTGAAGAATGGAAAAAGATAGATGTTGCAATATGTCACCAACTTGTTCATTCCATACCTAGAAGACTTGGTGCTGTCCTTGCAAATCATGGAGGACATACAAAATACTAGATGTAGTAGTTTTTGTTGTGGAGTGTATTCATTTTTGCATCGACTAAATTGAGTAAAACTGAAGATTTTGTAATCTAAATTATATTAATAACCTTACTTTCATGTAATGAGCTAAACAAATGTTCTATTAAACTCAGTTTTGTTGAAATTTTGGAAATTGTTTTTGTGTTTTTTATCGGTTAAAATCTTTTCAAAAGGTCTGTACTCATTTATGCTGAACACTGTATATACTGTATATATTTTACAGTATGGTAACATTTTGCTCAGTTGTAGTATTAGCAAGTAGGTCAAATTAATTGACATTAATAATATCAGATGTAAAAGGGGAAAAGATCACCGCTGCTGCCGACGAGCCCAGATGAAAAAAACTATAAAGAGTGGTCCAATCCTCCATGTTTCCACCAAACCACACATCCTAATGCATTTTATCCAGCCCACCAATGGGAAGGGCGAAATGCATCATGGTGTGTCATTTGGTGGAGGACATTTGGTGAAGATATGAAGGCTGAGGCTGCTCTTTTTTTAGTTTATTCACCTGGGCTAGTCTGAAGTAGCGGCAAACCTTTCCTCTTTACATTTACTTGCCCCCTGGATTAGTATTAGGACAAGCCTGCACCCCATGTTCTGGGACACAGGGATTTACTTTCCCATCTACTTTGAGGGTTTACTGAAAACAATCTAAAAGGTCGCAATTAATAAAATTAGGTTCATAACAATTAAATCATATGTCAAACCAAAACATTTTTCTACTTTTTTTTACTTTTGGATAGAATAGGAAGGGTTAGGAACTCTGTTGGTCTTTTTTTCTATCTGAAAATGTCTTATAAGACAGGAAATGAGGGGAGCTCAACAGCAACATAGATAAAAAAAAACATTTTTTATGTAATCGGGAGGCTACAATCTTTGTAAAATATTTATGTCTGTCTGTGTTGTTGTGTCCCGGTTGTAGATTTTCATTCACTTCCTCTCTGATTAAACCATTGTCAGCAAGATAGAAAGTGAGGGTTAAAGTGATAATAAACGCATACTGCTTACAGTTTATTTTGCCCCTTCTGTTTCTGTATATGGATGATGTCACTGTAATTATTTTAATTCAAAAAAATCTAAGTACCTTTTTCCTAATTGATATACAGCTGTCACATGACATGACCCAGCCTGTCTGCAGGGAAACTTAAGCAGGAGGAGCTTCTAGTCCTGAGCTACTGGTCACATGCTGAAAAAAAAAAACAGCCTTTGGAATACAGAGTAGAAATAAATAATTCATATCAATAAACTGGTTTAAATTTTCATACAAATATGTATTTTAAATCAAATCTTTATTATTTTGTAGAAATAACCTTAAGTGGGTGGATTTCTGCCAGCAACAGGCTGTTTCATGCCCCTTCAGCCTGTGTCTTAGAATAAGAGGGAGATGAAGCAACCATCTGCATTTAATATCCCGCCCCCATTGTGTTTAGCTGGTTATTTGGCATGGAGGAGGAGGAAGGGATTGGACTGTAATTTAACAATGTGCATATCCCTGCCTAGATGTAATAGGGAGGAAATGTTCATCATAGAAACTCACTGAAAACTGAGCATGTGCAGAGTTGCCACTACAGCTGCAAAATTCCTAGCTGAATTGGGGACATGAACAGAAGGTGAACATAGAGAGCAGCAGGATCAACCAGGTTTTTTTTGCAGAAGACAGAAAACGAATATCATAGTGACTGAGCGAGTATGAACAGCATGTAATACAGCATTTATTAAGCAGAATATACATGCAGAGTTTTTTTTTTTTTTTCATTCAACCAGTCTCTTTACAGACTACAAAGCATCTTGACACAAGTGTCATAGGACACTTTTGCCACATATCCTGAAGTGGCAGAGAAGCTAGTTTACATTTGCACGCTTTACTGCATATACAGACTGATTTTACTGTTGTGGGTTTAGTAACACTTTAAATACATTTATTGGAATTGATATACAGACAGTTTAAATTCAGATAATATTTAAAAAATTATCTTCTTTAAAGTTCACTGTTCTTATGCATTTTGTTATTTAATTTCCATTAGGCATGATTTATGACTTCAATTAGTGCATGCCCATGTTTAGTTTAGTTCACATGTGCAAGTTCTGTTCATGGTTATCTTTTTTAAACGTCTTTAATTCTTTAACTAAATATAGTTAGACTGTATACAGTAGATGTATTCATGAGCTTCCACTGATAGAACTACTAAAAAAAAAGCAACTTGATGGTTTCTGTTGATATTATCTCTGGACTCACATTAAAAGTCCATGTGAAATACCTACAGGATTTAGCAACTGGTATGTGAAATTTTTAGGCTGAGTTGAATATCCCCTCAAGACTGAAGTGATGTTCAGCTATAGGGATGAGCCAAACTGCCCTGACTTTGGTTCCAGCAGAGTTTGGTGAACTTCAAAGAAGTTCGGATGTCGAACCTAAACCCCATCGAAATGAAAGGAGCTGAATCTGTAAAATTAAAAATGTCCCTTTCTGGGGCTAGTAACAAGGGGGTGTCAAAATAGCATTGTGGGGTGTGGGTACTGCTCTGGGGAATATGTACCAATGCAAAAACAATAAAGTTGGTCAGGAGTAGTTTAAATGCTAATCATTAAAAATTCCAATTCCTTTAAATTGCATGCCAAGAAGTGTGCCCTAACCCTGTCTGTAAAGGAGTGCATTTCTGTTATGTACAGAAAGTGCTGCAGCAACACTGACATTTACAAAGGAAAAAAGTTTTAAAATTGCCAGCAAATGACTTTGATAGCTCTCATTGAAAACTTTTTTGTTTAAAAAAAAAACCAAAGCATATTGACCCCTCCAAGGGTCTGCTTTAGTATGTATTTTGGGGGCCTTTGGAGGGGGTCTGTGTGATTTAAAAAAGTTTGCAATGAATGCCTTTTGATGGCAATTTATGAAAAAAAATTGCATGGAATCCCCCCCAAAAATAATACCATACATATGCCTCCCCTCCCACCGGCAAAGCACCTTGCCCCTTGAGGACAAAGGCCTCTTCTCCACAACCCTTGTCTAGTGGTTTTGGGGGTCCATGGGCCAGGGAATTAGGAATCTCCTTTAATCATCAGGGGGCCCACAAATACTGGTCCCCTCGTACATGAATAAGTATAGATTACATACCCCTGCTCTTTCACAAAAAAAAATTGTAACCTAGAAATAAAGACACCAAAATATTTGACAAGTACTTTATTAAAAGAAAAATTAAAATTCCCCAAAAATGTCCCAATCACAATGATGATGGTTGATGATTCAGTGCTGGAGGGCTTCATTTTACAGGTATACTAGCTCATTATGGCATAAACCACCTGGAAGCCTGTTTTTTTTGCATGCAGAAAATGTTTATTGAAAAAATACTTCAGGCAAATTTAAACAGTGCAGCATATTATCAGCACAAGGGCGACATGAATATAGACCACTTTGATCACATACTGAATCACTAGTGAAAGGGCTACGCACAAAAAGACTTAAACAGTGTTCTAACCAAGATAGTAAAGAACAGTCTATCAAAGACCATATCGAAGAACCATTATGAAACAAATACAGAGAAAATCGACCTGTGTGGGAGTCTACAAAGTGACATTGAAACATTCTCAAACCTGCAGAAAGGTGGAGAGGTAAGAGGGTTGAGAGGGAATAAGGGATGGAGAAGAAAAAATGCACAGGGCAGAGGGAGGGAGAAATGTGGAGGAAGGAGGGGACACAAAATAACCACAGAAAAGGAATGTTACAATATCCACTAGGCAAAGAGCCTCTAAGAATTATTCCACTACTATTCCACTACTCTGGATAAATTGGTTAATTGGAACTCCAGGCAGACCATATCTTGTCAAACATTGGTAAAGCGTTATCAGTAGTGGCATGCTACGAAGACAGAGTAGGAGGGTGAAGTGGCTTCCACTTTAAAAGAATCACTCTGCAGGCATAGAAAGCAGCAAAGAAAATAAACAATTTAACATAACAACCTAAATCCACCCCATCTAAGATACCTAGCAGGAGTAACTTGGGGTCCAAACCGAGGGTTGAGTCACACAGTCTATTAAGTTCAGCTACCACTGCTGTCCAAAAAGATCTAATGGAGATACATGTCCATACCATGTGTAGGAAGGAACCCACAGAGGAAAGGCAATGTATACTAGAAGGATCAGTGAAATGGAAGATAATAGCCAGATGTTGTGGGGTAAAATAGGCTCTATGGATAAACCTGTCTCAAGTGGAGATCATATACATAACATAATGTTTGGTGCAGGTCTCCCATTCTTCCTCATCTAAATCTGACAAGTCAGCATTCCATTTCAGATAGGTATGAGTTGAGTTAGTGGCATGAACCAGGAAGAGTGAATGGTACAAAGAGGATAACAGTTTCCTCAACACACTTGAAGCAA